GGTCAACATCTGATGTCGTTTCCACACAGAGATAAAGTGGAAATTTCTAAAATATTATCAAAGGTGAGTTTAATATATTTTAATTTCATCTCATATGAATTCTGATATATCAATTTTTTTATGTATAACTTCTATATAATGGTGTCTTGTACTTTGAATTTAATTCATTCCAGAAGGCCATATGAACTCTGAATCATTCAAAGTCCAAATCAATTTTTTTTTTCATTAGAAATAATGGAAAATCAAATTAATCCATGTTCAGACTCAAAACAATACCCATTTTGATAAACTTGAAATGGCAAACACACATAATTTAAGGTAAAAATAACAATTAAATACCATCCATCAACCAAAGCCAAATATTATCGGGCTAGAAACAACTATAATACTAATAATTTAATAGACAATTTGGCATTAGAGTTAAGTGTTAGGCATCATCTCTTGATAAATTTAATAATTATAAATTAATTAAATAATCAAGAGATGGCACCTAACTCTAATGCAAAATTGTCTATTAAATTATTAGTATTATAGCCGTTTCTAGCCCGATAATATTCGGCTTTGGTTGGTGGATAGCTTTAATTGTATCGGGTATAGTAAAGATGTTTGATTAACAATTAAATACCATAATAATAAATTAAAATATGAAAAACAATAAATAAAATACATAAATACTATATAATAAAATGAAAATTTTATTTACTGGTTGCACACCATCAACTCTAGCATCAAACATGGCTGCCAGATACATCACACGTGTACTGCTTTTGTACTTCGTGATATGTTCTATTCGCATCTCAATTGTGGATATTGCAGCCTTCTTCTTGTTAGATTGTGTGCTTCCACACACTTCTTGGATGCCAGGGTTAATAAGTAAAGATTTAGTGTATTCACAACAGGTCTCATTACTTAACATAGATGTGTGATTTATTTATAACAGTTGTGAAATTTAACACATTATTGCTAATTTGAGATTGTGTCATTTGTTTATGTGATAGAATGGTCTGCACCACATCGTTGATGCATATGTTAGGATGACATCATTGTGTTTATTCTGGAAGACACAGAAAACGCTGTGGCCTTTAATTTATTATTTCTGTGAGCAATCGTGTGCATGGGTGGTTAGATTTGGAATGGGGGGAGGTCTAGAGACAGTATAACAGAAGAAATTAAACTCTACTACTTGTTAAACAAAACAAATGTCTGTTTATTAACATAGAGGGTTATACATTCTGAGATCATAGCAAGACAAAAATAGGATTTTGATAAAGAGTCTTTACACGCATGAGAGAGAGAGTTCACAATGGGTCGTGAGTTGATAAATACCTTGTTGTAGAGGTTCTAAGGAGATCTGATGCTCGTTGACAGGAGGATCAAGGATTGTTTGGCAGATCGTTTGGCAATACTAGTTGGTTGTGTGTTTGTGCCTGACTAATGAGCTGGTCATGTGGTTTTTCCAGATTTTCTTTATATATCAAACACCTAAATAGGGGCTAGTTTCCTATAGAAAGTCCTAGGAGGCATTTTTTTTCTTGGCATATTGCCCATTTATTATGCTGACATATTCCATCAACCAACATGGATCAATCTGTCACGTCAGCTGAGGAATGGTCTTATATTTCATATATTTCAGCATGAAATATTTTGATATGTATAACTTTATTACACATTAATCAGTTATGTACAGTAATATATTGCTAAGTCAAATTGCATTAACTGGAAGCTATCTACAGGTCAAAAGACACATTGTATAGGGTTTTCCACATAATACAATCCTTGTTAAGTCAAATTGCTGGTTGCGCTACAATTTGAAAAATTTGTAGATCTATAAATTCCCACTGTTGTTTGTCTGGCTGTCTGCCCATCTTTCCTTAATCTTGAGAACAGAGTTAGAGATGAAAATCTAGACTAGATGTGGTAAGCTTAGGAGCAGGAGGCCATGATTATCTGTATATGAATTTCTGGTTTGCATCAGAAGTCATGTTATTTTAATTCAAAAATTTTTACTTGAAAGGAGTTAGAAAGATGACTGGCACAACTCTATTGCTAACAAGAAAAGTATGATATACAGGGGCAAGACACTACTAATTTGAAGTAAAGAACATGTAATTTAAATTAAAAATATGATTAAAAATTGCAGTCTAGCATTGTGACGATGTCACAATAAAATAACTGCTTGTATTTGAACATACTTTCCCATGTACCTCTCCATCCTTTGATAAGTCCGTGATCTTCATTTCCTCTTATATTTTGTATGAATTTAGACAATTAAGATAAACACTACATCTCCATGTCAAACAACATGCCAGTACAACTGCATGTCAACATCGTTTTATTGATACAGTATATTATTGGCATTCTGTTTGGGGCACAAGGGGGTGCCCTGACAACAAACTCAAAAGCACCATGAATTGTACAGTTTTGTAATAATTCTGTGAACAAATTCTTGAGAAATGAATTGATAACAGGAAATTTATGGTCACGGAATACTTTGAGAAAATCAGGTATCAAAATTTTTAACTTGAAGTTAGGATTTTTTACTCCCCTAAACTTTGACTTCATGAGGCTTTACTATTTCGAATTTTTATATTTTGTTTTTCTGTTATTTATGATATCAGAAGTTAAATTGCATATGAGCCTTTTTTTTAAAGTGTACTTTTAAAGTCCACTTTTGGAAAAAAATGAGTTGATGATAGTTTTAGTCAGGCATAGATGTCTTCTTTTTATATTTATAATAACAAAGTCAATGATGTACAATATCCTCATAAATTAATCAAAAGAAGTTTAACTGTAAAATGTTATTGCCAGAATGTTTTTATTTTTTGAAAATGGAATAAGTCCATTCGTAATAAATCAATAATTGAAACAACTTTTCTTAAAGTCTTTATGTTTACAGTAATAGCTAATGCTAAGTGTAAAAGAGAAATAAAATTGAAATATGAATATATTTGTTGTTGTTATAGGGATTGCTCAAATGAAAAGTGGACACACATCAGAACTGGCAAACATTTATTGGAAATTAAAAGAAATATCCATGTTTGTTTAGGCAAAGATCCCAGTGTCTCACAAATATATCAATGCCCCTCATGTAGAATATTGGTGGCTGCTTATAAAAAGTTCTTTGACTCTATCCTTCACCTTATTTGCCAACATGAAACTTTGTCCTTTCAAAGCTTTCTTGAGAAGTCCAAAAATGTGAAAGTTGCAAGGCCAACAGGTCAGGACTATATGGTGAATGTTCTAGTACCTCTCAGTATATTTTCTGTAACGTGGCACTGGTTGCACTTGCCATATGGGGACAGGCATTGTTGTGAAGCAGGATCACTTTTTGTGAGAGAAGTCCTGAGCATTTTGACTTCATTGCTTTGTGCAGCCATGACAGAGTTTTGCAATAGCATTCTGAATTGATTGTTATATGTGGTGGCCTAAAGTCAACCAAAAGCAATTGATGCAGTGGAGATTATGGTGTCTGCCTGAACGGTCTCAGTTTATCCTGAACTGACTTGCAGCCTTTCTATAACTCTTGCATCAATTATTCACTGCTGTTTGTCCTAAACAATGTTCACCATAAACATGCTTCATTTGTTTATAGATGCCAGCACTCCTATTCTCTTCAGCCACTAAAAATCAAACTACTGCCTGTTATTCGATTCTGGATGCTTCCACTATAACTAACTTAACATTAATCTGCCAATTACAGGAGATAAAATCTATTCCCACCAATACTTAATGAAGCATGTTTAGCTTACCCGCCTGTAAGTGGCCTACCAATTGCTACTTTGCACAATGAAATATGACACATATCCACTTTTCATTTGGGCAATCTTTATAGTTATCTTAACAAAGTAATTTACTTTTCATAATTGTTTATTTATAAATTCTTAATATAATTATATTAAGTTATATTATAAATTATATTATAATATAACTTAATATTATACACAAAACCCTTAAATATCTCAATGTATGAATAAATGGATTTATACCACTTTCAAAAACAATGGCTCATATATAAGGGTTTTAGCAGTTTCATCTTTCACAACTTCATTGCAAAGGCAATGAAGACATGTAAGATGACTTTGTTGATTTTTCTGGAGGTTGTATTGAACTGCAAATTTTCATTCAAGTTTATGTCCTGGTTAAAATGTTCTTATATGATGGAGTTTGTTCCATGTGTGTGTTTGTTATGGAGTTTTTTTTATTATGAAATTATTAATGTGTATGCATATGTTTTACAAATCCCATAAAAGGATCTACATTTCAAGAATGACTGGGACTCATTATGTCCAAAATGCATATCATAAAATAAATACATAGAATTTTCCTGGAAATATGTCTCAAGGTCATTCTGTTTCTTGTTTAACTCAGTGTGATAAGTTCGTTTTTGGGAAAAGTGCACTAGCACAAAACATACAAAATAAGACAACTGACAAATAGTGATCAGAATAATATACAATTGGTTTAAATTGTGTATAGTAGTTTTAATATCATAAAATGAGTACAGAGGTATTAATTTATAATTTTCATTTCATATGACTGTAGAATAACTTAACCACTCAGCTGTGAGCAACGACTATAGTCATCAAATTCTTTTGGGAGATATCACCAAAAACTAGCCTAAAACTACTGCGAAAAAAAAATTCACATAAAAAATGAATTATGTAACAATAAAAAAATACTTTTCTTTACTAGACATAACTGTTTACAAAATCTTTTTCCAAAAGAGTAATGAGAAAAAACACATGGAAAAATACTTTAAAAATTTTCCACGTTTATTCTCCACTACTGGGTGGAGTACCATACTGACTAGTCTACTGTTGAAAGGTTAATAATACATATAAAAAGCATTACAATGTTGCTCATCATTATATTACACTACACCCCTGTACTGTCATTGCATCACCCCAGTTGAAATTTACTAATTTAGTTCAGTTTAAAAGATTTTTAACTTAAATGAATAGTTCTAGTTTTATTATTTAATTAAATATGTTCTGTTACAGACTTTTAGAACACGGTTTCGTAGAATTATGGACTCGTCCCAGAACTCATTGAACGACAATTCATCTTGTTTAAAGTCTAATCTGGACAGGACCGAAGAAGAACTGTTCAACGTTGGGAAAAAGGCCATGATGGAATTTAATGGTTGGCAAACACGTCAGACTGAAAGAATTAGCACTTCTGATCTGGTCGTCATTCACAAAAAGCGGAAGAGGACTAATTTAGAAAGCATGTAAAAATGATGTATAAATATTTTGATACTTATTAGTACTTTCAATTTTATTACAGTTTTGTTAAATAATTATAGTTGAACACTGCTCTTATCCACAATATTGGTGTATAACATGGATAACTAAATATACAAGTTCATATTTTTATATTTGATTATTTTTGTTATTCATTATCATCGTTAAATATGTTTATTATCTATAACAGTATACTTATCTATAGTACAGTATATGAGTTCACCAAACTATTAAATTTGACCACTTTACAATTACAATTTGGCTATATTAAACTATGGCAACTTTCATGTCTTCAAGGAGTCAAAAACCTTAAAGTCCTATTAACTGAAACATTTTTAAATGCCACATTATCAGATATGTACAGTCGACCTCACCTATAACACTGTTGATAATTTCATTTTATATGAATTCCATGTTGTACAAGTCACTTAGATTTTACAAATACATGTGCTGGGCTGTGAACGGCTCACGTATTTGTAAAATATAAGTAACTCGTACAACATGGAATTCATATAAAACGGAAAAATCAACAGTGTTATAGGGGGTCGACTGTAATGATTCTAAATTCTGAATACAGGTAGGCCTCCTACAATGCGATAGATACGTTCCTTGAAAATACCACGTTGTGGGAAATTGCATTATAGGAGACACCAACTTAATACAAAAACTGGGATTTGGTTCTGAAAAGAGAAAAACTTGGTGTTTGAATGGCGTTTTTTGAATTTTTCAAACCAGCCATTGCTAGCCACGAATTTAACACTGGTTTCATCAGCTGACAACTGTCCCATTTGTTTTAAATAATCAAATATTTTTAAGGCTTTGTGTTTAAGTGCAGTTTTATTTAAAGGCAACTGTTTCTTGTTCATATCTTCTACCCATAATATTAGCGCTTGTTCCATTTTTTCTATTATAAGTGCTCTTGGGTGAGCAACATTTTTTGCAAGAATAGATGATCTGGATGTGGCCAAATTCCTAATCTTTTCTCCCGATTGCTTAATCGACCAAACAGTCAACTCATTTAAATTAAAATGCCTATTAATATCAGCTATCCGCTTTTGATTTTTAATTCACTCCAAAATTTCTTTGTTTGAAGAGTTATAAATTTCTTTTTTAATGATGGTCCTTTCTTTTCATTCGGCATTGTTATGGCTAAAATTTTTTCAATCAGTTTTGTGGACAGTAAAAATTGCAAAAAATAACTTTCCTTCACTATGTTGTTAAAAATACACACCCAATAGAAGTTTATACTGTATTTTGGACCATTTTTGCAGTTCCCACTTATTGAAAGAGTATAAATGATCGAAAATTTAGTGGTATATTTGAGTGCTTATGGTAACTGATGCACATCTGTCTAGAAACTGGTCTTCTCCTGAAACTTTCAAGGGAATAACACACCAACGTCGACAAACAGCTTTTTTCAAGGACATTTAGCTCTGTATGCCGAACTGCGGCTTTATCGCGTGATCCGTTGCGATTTTTCTGTTATGTGAAAGGTAATTTGTTTCTAAATACTGTAAACCGCGTTGTAAAAGTACTGGATAGTAAGAAAATTTCTGCATTTTTCCAACTGTGTTGGAGCAAAAACATGTTGTAAAGGTACTGCGTTGCAGGAGGCCTACCTGTATATGTATCCAAATGGCTGAGTATTTAAGATGGCAACTTACTGTACCCAGGATCGAATCTGAGCAGGTCAAAAAACCCCGAGAATTTTTCTGGGATGGTCTGTCCAGATACGTCGGGCCCCAACCCTCACCACCCGGTTACCCCACTGTGGGCCTGGCCAAACACATAATGGATTCGCAAAAAAAAAGACACAGTAGTATTAAAAAGTTGGAATGTACAATTGTTCTATTTTTATAACAAAAGATTTACAAACATTGAATTTTATCATGAAATTCATTCCATTTACAATTAAGTCTTTACTGTAACGTATCATTTATTGATTAATTCAATAATTCTGTTTTTCAGCATTGTTCTAATACAACTTCAATCTGGTAATCTTTCTTGTGACACACTTATTTCTTTATCAATGTAGTTATTGCATTCTTCATACTTTTAGGAATATATATAAGAAGTATTAAGGTACTACATTTTTGCACCCAGATTCAGTGTATAAATTTCGTATATTAATAACAGCACTATGAATATTCACTGCAGAAAGCGCAAAGCAATAACCGAAACTGAAGATATTCTTTAAATGGAAGACTTACGATAAATAGAATTTGTAATAATGACGGCATTGAAATGATAGATTACCGGTACGACTCTATTGTTATGGGAAAAGTATGATGTACGGGGGCAAGACAATACTAATTTGAGAAGGAGAAATATTTTAAATAAAATAAATTAAAAATACGATTAAAAATTGCAATCCTGTTTTGTGACAATGTCGCAATAAATAATTGTTAGTTTCTAGGTACATTTCAACAGAAAATAAGTAATCAAGAATGTGGTTATCTTTGACATAATCTTTGACCCGTGGAACTTGACTTGTATATTGAGCAATTGTAATTTTTCATTGACATATAAAATCTTTATATCTGACCTTTCCCGGGCAAGAAAAGTTCTAACTGCAGTTTTGAATCTCAGAAGTAAATTCGGTCGTAAATGGTTTCGGTAAGAATATTTTCATATGCATAATATTAAGGGCAAAATTGGAAACAGTAGATTTGCACGGCATAAATTATTATTGCCCATTTCATTTATTGCCTGTTTTCTGTATTGTAATATAAAATTAACAGGGGGTGTGTGCTGGTAGGTACTGGTGCCGGGTTGCCAGAGGTACTGGTGAACTTTTAGTGGAGCTGGAATATTGTGTGTTAATGAATTGGAAAACCGAAAATAGACGAAAAATAATTGATTTGGCAAAGTGGATATTTACGAATAGATTATCATTGGATTTAATAATGTGTTTACTGTTGTGTGCCGGGATTGAATCAAATCTGGGATCTTTTCAAGGAATGAACCAATCGGATATGCAAAAATGGGAGCGTGGCAGACCACGTAAGGATAATTCCAAAGAGATGGAAAAGGAAAAGCAATTGAACGATTTAATGAGCGCAGATTTCTATCAAATTGAAGAGGATTATTATAAAAGCAGTCTTGAGGTTACGAGAACTACGAAAATATACGAATATTTCGAAACATTAAGAAACACAGAACCAAAGGTACAGGAAGAATCCCAATATACATTAAAATCGATATATGAACTAATATAGAAATTTTTACAGCTTAATATAGAATTACAAGGAATTAAGACAGATGTTAATTCACTGAAAGAGGAAAAATATTTTCGAGAATTGACAAAATCGTTCCAAAAGATAGATGAAATAGAGGAAATATCCAAGAATCACAGCCAAATAAAAGGTATTGTTGAAATTTGAAGTAGATAAATTTGTAAATGAAAGAAATAATAAAAATATCATAATTATAAATTTTCCGTTTAATTTGACGGACTGTTTAAAAGAAGTTAACCAGTCCATAAAACAGTACTTAAGAATAACACATAATTCTATAGAAAGTGCACTTAGACTAACCAAAAATGAAATTAAACCTACTGTAAAAATTTCATTAGATTCCTTATACACCAGAAATTTAATTCTTAAAGAATTCTGGAAAATGAAAGTTAACTTCGATAATGAGAAGATGAAAATAATAATAATAATAATAATATTTACTGCAGACTTATTTAAGAAATCAAGATTTAGGAGAAAAATTTACAAGCAACAATCAAACAAGAAAAATTAAACGGAAATAGAATAATAACAAGAAATTATTATATAAAGGATAACAAAATACATACATACGATGCTAATTTGAATAAAGTGGTTCAATTAATTGATTTTTAGGAAAGAACTGATTAACACTCCAGAACTAATAATAAATGGTTTGAAAGCAGTTACAGACAAACGAAATGTCAAAACAAAAAACAGAAAATATGGAACTAGACACTAACAATGTTGGGGGATACAGATAAACAGATTAACAACAGTAATTTAATTGACATTCCCCATTTAAAAATAACATACTCTAAATATAGCACCAAAATATTTATAGGATTTTGGAATATCCAAGGACTATAAGAAAAACTTTATACAGATTCTTTAATCAGTATGTTGGATTTGATCATGTTCCTTTTGTATTGTTTTTCCAACGACAATGTAGGTGTTAAAATAATTCCCAGAAATTTGATCTCTTGAACTATTTTTAATTCTTCGTTATTGAGGTAAAAGGATACGTGTTTCTTAGAAAGTCTGGTTCTATTTCGGAATATCATTACAAATGATTTACTAGGGTTGAATTTTAATTTTTCACAATACTCATTCACAGCACACATTTCTCTACGTAAAGCAGCAGCTGTTCGGGCAATAATCACTGCCATTTGCATAAGATATCGAATTTATTACTTGTTTCTCGAATATAAAACCATCATCTTAAAGCAGTCATTAAAATCCAACGTATAAAAATTAATAAACAGATGTGGTGACCAGGTATCACCTTGTAATAGGCCTCGGTCAATATCAAAAGCCGGCTATTGAAAAGTATCTTGTTTGATCACCACTTCGTTGTAGCCAAATAATAATCCTATTATTTTTTATAAGGTTATCTTCTACCGGTATTTAATCATTTTCCTTTGTAAATTTGAGATAATCACTGAATCATAAGCTTTTTCGATATCTAGAAATATGGCAAACACTTTATGCCTTTTTTTACAAAGTTGTAGTTAAATTATTGCAATCAAAACAAAGAGAGCCTATTGAGTGCCCCCATCTTTAATAAATATAGTTTCTGTATACAATATTCTCACATTTTCTAAATATTTTTCCAGTGATTGTTCTGAGTGTTTTTCTAAATTGTTGCAGACTCTTCTGTTTCTTCATTTTGTAATAGTAACATTTATTATCATACCATCTTTGTTCGAATTTTGGTATCATATTCTTTATACACCTCTTAAACCGATAGGATTCTAGTAATACCATTAGATTATTATAATTATTTATCGGTTCTTTGTTCTCTTCCTGTAATAGTGTATCATTAGCATTATTTTCAATTTCTCTTAAAAAACCTCTGTTTATTAAATTTTCGTCCTTTATCCTTAATTAATTCTTCATTTTGTGTCGATATCTGAAATTCGTTTATTCTGTCTGTATTTCCTCTTAATTCCAATTGTATCACGTGAAAATGATCTGAATCATCTAAGTTCAGTACCTTCATCGTTATACACTGATCTATAACAAATTCAGAGCAAATAATATAGTCTATTATAGAGTTACCCATACGTACTACAAAAATATATTCAGAAGGGAAATCATCGTTGACCCTACTATTTAAAATGAATAATTCATTTTCTTGAGCAAAGTCCAGTAGGATTTTGCCATCTGTATTGTTTTGTCTTTAAATACACTCCAATTATTAATATTGGTGCATTTTTTCTTTTATATTTTGAATCTAACTTCTCTCCAATTTGAGCGTTGAAATCACCTATTATCCACAAATTAATTAAATTAGACCATTGTGCGATGATTTTTTGAATTTCTTGAAAACGACTTTTTATCAATTGAAGTGGGGAGATATACGAGTATGATTCCAATTCGCGAATCTTCCCAATTTGAATTAAATCTCTGCCCGGTATCTATTAATTAAAAATAAATTTTTCGGTTATATATCGTTGTAGTAACGCATCAATTTGTTTCCTGATTAGCAATAAAAGGCCTCCAGATGGTCGAACAAATCTAATTCTTTGCACTTTGCTAAATAATAGTACAGTATATGTTCTTGTTCTAGATACTTCTTATCTTCCTTTTTCATTTTGATTATATGTGTCTCTGTAAGACCAATAATTGAAAGAATTTTCATATTTTTTAACCAATCGCCCACTGTACATTTGTTTTTGTTTCTCTTAATTTACTTTACTTACATAAATGCTGACTTTGCAATGAACTACTAATTTATATTTTGCAGGGCTTCAAATGGAGACATAGAACACTGCTATAATGTGTATTTTTTAAAAAGTGGTTTAACATGAAAAGTAGATGTATAAAACACACGATTCTTAAATATTAGATAAAACGGATAAAACTTATTAACCGTGGGTGATTCTAGATAAGAGCTGCGATTTTATATATTCTTCCCATTGACACACTCACACATAACAAGAAACTAATAAGAATAGCATACTTGAACGGTTAAAGTAATAAGTAATTTACCAAAATAATATAACCAAATAATATACTCGAAATAATTGCTAAGTGTCGTAATCAAACCACTCCCATTTTAAATCGTTATTTCATTGGTAGGAAATAAGCGAGTGTGAGGGACGAACAGACCCTTAATAAAGTGTTATTTTAAATTTTAATTATTAAAACATTCCATCATCTAAATTCGAGCGTTAGGCTAAAAACCATAAAATTTATTTCCCACGGAGTTGGTTCCTTGTTCAGGAAGATCCAGCTAGTCAGAGATGTGTCACCCGGAACCATTAATAACCTCCTGACCTCCTGGGAAAAGCCCAAGAGGAATAACAAGAGAAAAGAAAAAAAACACCCGAGGTCAGTCGTCATCCAAAGTCCTCCTACAAAAGTCGTCCTCAAGGATTAACCCTGTGAACCCGAATCCAGACGTAAAACCCGTGCACCAGAATCCAGAACCTAAATAACACCGTGCCTCGTTAAGAATCTCACCCCACTTCCGTGCTTCCACACCTCCGAGCTCCTGTTAACGGACCAGAATTTGAGAGAACATTCCATCGAAGTCAACAGTGTCATCATACTATAGATCTGCGACTTAGAAGAAAGGTATTTATCAACCCGCGATTCGGTTGTAAACTTTCTCTCTCAGCGGCCTAGTATAATTAAGCCCGATAATATGCCCGATATCGAATATATCTGTATTTTCTTTAGTACTTATTAAAATTGTTATTTATTTGTTACTATGGAGTCCGAGTGAGTCACTTCCTCGTCTCTCTCCTCACCTCTACTCCGAATCCCATCGCTCACCCGCTACCGCTCGCGTGACATAACGTCGCGATTTCCGAGTCCTGCGAGACCATCCTGACGTGGTTTCAAAAAGACACCGACCCTACGGTCACACGAGTTTTCGAGGGCTGTTCAAAAAGTATCGGACCTTTAGTCGGCAAAAATACATTTATTGATTTTGAGGTACAAAACCCTAAAATCCTCTTCAAAGTAGTTTCCTTGGTAGTGTACACACTTCTCCTAGCGCTCCTGCCATTGCTGGAAGCACTGCTGGAACGCAGGTTTTGGAATGGCCATCAGCCGATCCGTCGCATTACGCACGATGTCTTCTCTCGACTCAAAGCTTGTTCCTTTTAGCGGCATTTTCAGCTTGGGAAACAGCCAAAAGTCACACGGAGCCATGTCGGGAGAGTACGGAGCGTGACGAACCACAGGAATGTTGTGTTTGGCGACGAAAGTCTGAATTAGATGTTATCACGTGATGCGTTATCACGATGGAACTGCCAAGCTTTGGTCGACCACAGATCCGGTCGTTTGCGCTGCACAGCATCACAAAGACGACGAAGGATCTCCTAGTAGTACTCCTTTGCGATAGTTTGGCCTTGTGGTGCTCACGATATACCACGACCCCACGGGAGTCGAAAAAACTGTCAACATGACTTTGACATTGCTGCGGACTTGCCGCGCTTTTTTGACCTCGGGGATCGTCACCGAAAGCCTGTTGAATCTTGCGAATGGTTTCCGCTTGGGTATCGTCAAGCTTTTGGCAAAATTTGATGCAATATCGCTGCTCACGTTGTTCAGTCATTATTCAACTTACTGGAATCCGACGAGCGCTCACTACACGTCCTCACTCATAGGTAGACTGCCAGCGACTGACGCTTCCTGCGGGCAGGAAAAAATTCAGGACAGTGCATGACTGTCTCCTCCACATCTCCACCGAAGGAGGCCTCCCGCGCGTCATTGGTTTACGCGGGAAAAATAAAGGTCCGATACTTTTACACCTCGTATGATGTGAAGTGTATCCTAAGACCTAAAGTATTCCGTTATACAAATCAATACATGTATGTTTTTGAGCTAGTTACATCAATAAATACATCTGAAGTCAACTGATTTAATTAGTAGATTTCTTTTTTACCAAATCCCTCCTGATTCCTACCCATTTCGCTATGTAATTGTGGCTCATATGTTATATCTGATTTTGTTTAAGCTAAAAGAAGTATTTTGTGAATAACAGATAATATCGTATTGTGTCAGTGATATTTCTTTAAAAGGATTTTTTGATGTTGATCAGAGATGTTTTATACCTGTGTACAAAAGAGCCTTTTGCCATCGAAAGAACAACAATCAATTAGAATAGTAAGCAATCAATTTACTTTATTTTATATCTTATTAAAAGAACGTAATTAACGTAAAAAACAAAATATTTTATGAATACAATAAACCATTTTTTAATTGTGATTTTGAGTGGTTCGTTAATTTTAGCACTATATCATGAATTACAATATGAAAATCAATCGTGAAAATTATTAACGAATAGAATTAGTTTCATCCATAGCTTCTATAAATATAAAACGACTTCCAGTTACCAATTGAGACTCTTTTCTTCAGCCCTCGAACTATTTTTGCTGTAAAACTGAGCGTACCATTTTCTGAATTTGGCAATTGTCCTGTCTTCTGAGACGTAAATTGGATTCTTCAAATACATTTTGTAGTTCCATATGCGAACGTCACGCTCAATCTGTTAAGATAAATATATTTTATATATTAAAACAATATCTAATGAATACCTTTAAATTTAAATTAGTGGAATTTAGATATTTCACCAAACGGGATTCCCAAAACATGGCAACATGATCAAGTAAGGTTGAGAATCGAGAAGGAGAGTAGTAATGGCGGATGAATCTTTGTCGAAACGGTCCTTCGTTTATAATACTTTGTACAAATACACTATTTCCGAAATCACTTTGCAAATACGAATGGATTATTGCTGGGCCAATCTGAAAAATTAAAAATATTTCAATACAACACAAATGCGATTTTATGAAATTATTTCATTTTGACATATTCTACATATTTAGTTTTCTAAATAGAATTTATATTCAGATAAACACGAAACAGTTTAAATAACATGGTTTAATCTTTGATTAATTTCGAAAGAGTCTGATCATAATTAAACAGCAGTTATTAACAGCTCACTGTACAACAAACTGTTCTCCATTTATAAGTGAAATTTGGTAGACATACTGCTTAGGGTATATGTGTACAGCTCGAAAAATATCTGTTTGATAATAAAAACATGGCCACTTTTAAAAAACTATTCATATATGCATAAACAATAATTTAATATTTAATTACCACTTGGATTTCAAAGTTTGTACGTAGAACAGATATTCCAAACAATTGAACGGCCGTATTGCCTGTATATTTGTAGCAGTGGGAATTTGGTGTGCATACTGGAGAGCAGGAAATCTTCCACATATTCTGGAAAAATTTCCACCAATTTTCTGGATGCAGAATGATTCCTGACGTAATACCATATTTGTGAAGGCAATCGAAATGAGCGAAGTCTGATCCGTTTTCCATAATCTCCTGTAATGAAAATATAAAATAAGAAATAAGTGTGCCGTCGATTAGAGATGAGTGGGGTAAGAATACTCAGTTTTTATACAATATAAATTCCGTGTCAGAAGAGTGAAAATCTTAAAATTTTCGCATAATAATTCTCAAACTATCTTCCCTAATATTTCCCACGTTTTTATTAATATTTTGAATATATGTCATGTAATAAAGTTTCTCTTCAAAAAATTACTAAAGTGCGTATATGGTCCGGCAAAAATGTACAGGAAAGGTTTTACAAAAAGTTATACAGAGTGTATTGATAAATAGAATTTAAAGAAAAACAACAATTATTCATTAAAGTCAATCCACACTCACAGTCAGAGTGAATAGTTTTGGTAAAGCATTTGGGATTATTTAACCTAAATCGTAAATACGAGCCAATCAAAACAACAAGTTAGAAAATGATTGTAATATGTGGTAGTACTATGATTAAACATGTTTCAGAAATAAGGAACATTTTTATCATTTCATTTTCTGTGTATATATTAGTATACATTTATCTATATATATAAAAATGAATGTATGTGTGTATGTGTGTGTGTCTGTCTGTCCTTCATGCATTACCACACCGTTTATCCGATTGCCGTGAAACTTTGGGAAGTTGTTTAATATACTCCCGCGAAGGTTTGTGGCATAGTACGATTGCCATAAAACTTTGGGAAGTTTTTTATTACATTCCGGCATAGTACATTTAACCTACGATAGATGGCGCGCGTTTACACGAGCATTTGAGCATAGTTTGTTCGATCGATTTCAAATTGTGAAAACCATTTCCCCCCTTCAAAAATATCTCTATATATGCATTTGTGAACTGTTATTTACGATATTTGTAATAGTTTTTGTTTAATCACTTTATTTCGATTTTTTTTTTTTTTTGCTAATTATGTATTCGCTCGAACTTTGTTAAAACCTTAACTGTATCCCGAACAACAACCGAAGTTGTAGGAGGAAATTCGCCTATTTTACCGATCTAGGGATCCCCCCTTTTCCAAATTTTAATATCAACTCAAAATAATTTTAAAAGACAAATTAACGGTTTATTATCCAACTATCAGAAATTTCACAACATGCCAAGGAAGAGAGGAAGGAGCAATTAAATAATTAAAATTATAAAGGATTAAAAAAAATATATATAAATGGGGAATATCGCACTTCTGACAATTGCTGCGAGTGTGTGGGCTAAATTTGGAGAATCCGTGCTTCTCCCGTGGACAACTGTATGTTGCCGGCTCACGCGTCAGAATATCTTCTGATTTATTCGTGTTCGCATCAGACGGAAAAACAAAAAATATCGTGTATCCACAAACACTCCAATAAATAAATAGAATTGAAACGACACTTTGAAAAGTTTTCCCGATGAAAATGAATAATAATAATAAGTTTCAATAAAAATGATAAAATGTAAATTGAATTTTATTATAACGAGTTTGCTTGAATTTCGTATCTTCTGAGATCGCAGCAATGCGCGACGGGTAAGCTAGTTTATAATAAGACTTCATTGATCTAAACCTTAAATGACATTTGATAGAAAAGTACTTTTTCTGTGTGTCAAATATCAGCTACAAATATCCATCATTGGGCTGCAATTTAAAAGAATTGTAGACATATAAATTCCAACTGTCGTTTGTCTGTTCACATGTCTGTCTTTCCTTAATTTAATATTTGTAATTAAAGAACTTTTGCATATTTTCCACTTCTCGCATGGGAGTTCTTCCTTCTCTTCCTCACATCCTTGGCAGAAAACTTTGAATAACAGTACGATAAATTATAATTTAACTAAATATATATACAACAATCAAATGTAATTGCTATATAATCAAAATTATTTATCCTTCTTTTTTCTATGGGATATGGATATAATCGGTTTCCAGTGAGGACATTGTCATAAAGCTCGCAAGCATTCAATGAATAGCGACTAGGGATTGTATACCGGTTTACCGATTTACCGGTTAACCGATAAATTGACAAAAAAACATTCGGTTAACTTACCTGTAAATGAAAAATCCATACTAGAAATTTCTATGTAGATAATATTGTGTTTATAGATATTTAAATGGGCTAAAGGGACATTGAAAAAAAAAACAAAAAACAGGTAAGTGTAAGCAACAATATATCTCATTATTAATTTTATGTGAGATAGTTTTTGTTTAATTTTAATATAATGACCATTCGTCCACCAAGTGTTGAATTAGAAAGGGTATTCTCAGGATCTGGATTATTTTGTACAAAAATTAGATCAAAATTAGGAGATAAGACTATAAATAATTTAAGTTTTTTGAGAAGTTAATTTTAAAAAATGGTAATCAATAAAATGGTATTAGGTACAATATACTTTTTCTGTTGTATTTTTATTTTTCTGTATTATTTTATTTCTGTTTATTTTTATATTTATTATTATACAGTAGAGCATCGATTATCCGACCCCCGATTAACCGACACCTCGGTTAACCGACCGTCCTAGTCGGCAAATTTCAAATGTCTGCTAGTGATGTGGCGCTACAATATTTGGCTATGTCTTGGCTACTTTAATATCATTTTTACGTGTTTTAGCTGGCAACACTCATTCGACCATGAAAGGGCGCCAGTATTTAAACGAGGCTTAATTTTCTAATTTTTAACGACAATAGCGACGATTATTATTTTTGAAAATTTTTGTTAGGCATAACATCGATGAAAATTCAACGCGAAGTAGGTTAATAGCGATATACTAATATACTAATTACATGGGATATAATAATATACTACACTAATAATGGATTTTTTCATACTTTTCGGTTATCCGACTTTTCAATTATCCGANCTATATTTATTATTATAGTTTGTTTAGAATAACACTTTAATTTTTATATTTTTTATATTTGATATCTTTGAAATAAAAATGTGAAATGGAAATCATAATGACTTATATTTTTTATCACCTTAATTTTATTTTTCAAGAAAAAAATTTACCGGTAATTTACCGGTAAACCGGTATTTTAATTTTCATTTACCGAATTACCGGTAAATGAAAAAGTCGGTAAATTTACAATCCGTAATAGCGACAAAACACCAGCAGGTAAAAACCAAACTTCTTGTGTAAAAATGATCGTTTTCAATGTAGCTAATAACAAGCGTTATAACCTGACAATGAGCGCGTCTACACAACCGTTACTAGAAGACGCTGACAGAGCTGGCCCTACCATAGGACGAACGGAGCAGCCGCTCCAGTCGCTAGGTCCTAGGGGGCGCCTCAGTGGAAAAGAAATATAAAGGAAAAAATTTTTTTTCACTTTTCGATATTTTCGGGGGGCGCCATAATAGGATCTAGCTCCATCCTAAAACTTGCCTCGGGCCGGCACTGGGCGCTGATATTATCAAGCAACGAATTTAACAATAAAGTTTCCCGCTTACCATACACACGCTTTTGTCTGAACTCTTTTTTTTTTTCGGATTAGAAACACCATTATCCACGTAAAGTGATTTATGAATAACTTTTTCCGGTTTTGTTATTTGCGTCTTCTTTCATACAGTATCTTTTTCTTCATATCTCCTATTTTTGATTCTAAAGTATTTTTAAACGGTGAGCTTATTATTTTGAATTTTTTCTGCTTTCCTCCTTCTTTGTTTTGTAATCTTCCTTTATGGAAATGGTTTGATTTCTGCGGGGAAGAGAAATCGTTGAGTCTAGAAGTAGATGGAACTGCATCTATTCCTCCAGGCGACAGTGTTTCTTTATTGATTTCTCCACATCCTACAGCAGATATCTGTGTTTCCTTATGAACGTGCATACCTGTTACTGTGCAAGGTGCAAAATCCTTATCTGTAAACACTCCAGGATCCATAGGCAGAATCCCACACATCTTAGAAGTTTTGACACCTTTGTCCACTGAAGCACACCTACAGATAACGGTGGCGAATAATTTTGCTTTTTGAAATTGTGTGATGACTCTTTTTGAATTACTTACAGGCCAGTTGTTTCATGTTTCTGCAGAAATAGTATTTAGCACATTACAAAAGCAACGGTACAGTGTTTGAACTTTGTGGATGCTTCTGCGTACTCAAAAGCTAATCTTCTTCGCCTTTTGAATGTAAGGGAAATACGTACAAAATGACATAGGCAACATAATTCGAATTTGGCGGTCTCAAGCGCGCAACTGACCACGACACCACATTATCCGAGCGGCTTTTACTGACCTGTCAAAACGTGAACGCACTCCTCTCATTCGCCCGGGTGTCATGGCCGACGACAAGCGTTGATACGTTATGAATTTTTTTCCTTGCAACAAGTTTTTGTATAAATGGTAAGTTTTTCACTATTTTATCTATTTGTGTAGCATTTATTTTAACCTTCAAGAATTTGTTGTTGCACTTAAATAACTTTCTCCATTAAAAATATCATCTTTGTATTTATTTTATAATTTTGTTTTTTATAACGCTATATGGGCAAAATGACATACATAGGCAACGGACATAATAACATAGGATATGCTCCTAGTATGAAGGCAATTAAATCATAAAATGAGCACAAAGCTCAGCCAGAGAAAAGGAGACGAAACGTTGCTAAAAAGTTACTTGAAGAAGACAGTGAAAAAGAAAATTTTCCTGATAACTCTCAAGATGATGAAGAGGACTGTCCATGCATATATTGCAATGATCTTTTTTCTCGATCTAATCCTGGAGAAGACTGGTTATAGTGCTTAAATTGTTTGCGTTGGGCTCATGCTTCTTGCGCTGACGTTTCTAAAAGAACCAAGCGTTTCATTTGTGAACTTTGTAATTTTACTCAGTAATTTTATAGTTTTTACGTGTATGTCATTTTTTCCTTACGTAATGTATCATTTTGTCCATAGCATATGGACAAAATGGATTTTGGCTGATCTCAATTAAATTAACAATATTTTTTTCTATTATTTTTATATTATAAATGTTTATTATATTTCATAGATAAAGAACCAAAGATGATTGGTGTAGAATATGGCAGAGCTGTGATTTACCAATAAAGAGTTATGAACCTAAAATAGAACCATATGTCATTTTGTACGTATTTCCCCTAAGTCCATAGAAAGACATGTTCAGAACTTTACAATGACAAGCTAATTATCCTTGAAACAATCAATACTCCAATTCAATAGCGATGTTATAATTGGGGTAAAAGCTCGCATGAGCATTTATGCCTCACAGTAGAATGCAAACATTTTCCCCGCAACATCGTTTCTTCAAAAACAGATACTGCAATCTACATCTAGAACATTTTTGAATGTTTAGTCCCACATAATGCATACAAAACACGAGTTTATAAATATATCTAAGGAATGATTTACATAAGTTTATACATAATCATTAAGTAAGATTCACTTTTTATCTATGTAATATAATATTTTGAATGTACATACTATAGTATGTGAAAATGATTTCATAACTTTTCATGCTAAGTCGGTAATTATTAAGTTTTCGATAACTCAGCAAGTGAACTTGTAAACTAACTCAGTAATGCCAACATGACATTTATACAAATAATTATATCTTTCATTACAATATTAAATGCGTAGAAGAAATCACAAAAGTGTCTTCTTTTAAATCTTAACGTCCTTTTCACATTCGGGAACTAACAGTCTTTACGACGGAGTCGACCTTCCTTTTTAGGCTACTCTTCCGCCTCAATATGTAAAACACGGTTAAAAAATATTCCCGAGATTGTGCCCGACTCCGCCGTAAAGACAGTAAGTTCCCGAAGTGTGAAAAAGACATTAAGATTTAAAAGAAGACACTTTTGTGAGTACTTCTACGCATTTAATACTGTAATGTATGAATTTTGTCCTGGCATGTGTTAATTATATATTTTTTAAATTGTAAATTATATCTTTATTGCAAACTTTTACCCGCCGCGAAAGTTTACCCAATTCTACTCTACTTGCTATAATTTTATTTGTAAATACCTGAATGTGACCTTAATGTGTTCAGTACGTCCTTTATAATGCCATAATCCGTCTTCTATTTCTGATATAACTGCAGGTTTCCAGAGTGGGGGTTGGCCTTCTGCATGATGCCAGACGTAAATAAATCCGTTTTGCTCGATTGTTTCCCAACATTTTATGTTAGCCGCTTTTGGAACTAAATTGAAATGTACATGAAATAAATTTTTGTAGTAAGTATATAATTTTTAACAGCCTTTACCTTTTTCGGTGTAAGGTATTTTCACACAAGAACCATCTTCTCCAGAGAATCGCCATCCGTGAAAAGGGCATTCGATGCAGTCTTCGTGGATCTTGCCATCGATTCCTAAATTAGCGCCCAAATGAGGGCAATAAGCGTCCAAAACAAAACTTTTACCTGTTTTTCCGCGAAATATAACAAATTGTTGACCTGTAAAGTAGTCAAAATTATTATTTATTAAGTTGTAATAATGAACTTTTGAAGATTTACTATTCTTCATGTTATATTGTGTAAATGAATTTAACTTATCTTTACAATCAATGTTTGTAATTATTCTTCATACAATTGTTGTAGGATAAGGTAACACATCATTTGGGACACCTGTGAAGGAGAATGCCTTTAATGAGGACATCCTTAAAAAAACTAGCCCCTATTTATTTTTTGGGCATGTGAAAAAAGCAAGGGAAACTCCACGTGATTAGGCATTGTCGATACTGAAACCCGCTATTAACTACAAGTGTTTAGTGTTTTATCCAGTAGGCTACTCTGAGCATTATACAGTTAAATAATTAATCTATATTTTAATGGCAATTATCTATAGTATGCCATTATCAACTATAAACACACATCTCTATATATAAAACTTTTAACATTTTCATTTACAAAAAGCCTACTTTTATAATGAACTTATTTTTAAAATTTCAGACTTTCAGTCATTGAAAATATTTTCTTGTGAAGCCGTTAGTTTCGATACAAGATATAATACTTGCAGCTTACTTAAAACATAAAATAAATAAATAGTCGAAGCATTCGACAACATAAAGATAATTTATGTTTTTATCTTTACTTAGGAAAAGAGTCGTGCCGGTCATCTAACTGCATTCAGGGAAAAATGATTGAATAAAAATAATAACCTGATTTTCGGTTTGCACCGAAAGTGTGTATATAGTTAATTGGCCATACGCTTTCCACATCTGGTGTCTTTCATGAATCTTACTCCGTTCTCTGGATTAAAGAACAGAAAAACGGACGGACGGACGACAGCGACAATTTATAGGTTCACAATTTATTCAAATTACAGCCCAATTAAAGATATTTGTTTCATAGCTCTAGTAAAAAGGAAAGGAAATATCAACCAGCTGAAATATTACATTATTACTTTTCATAAAGGGACAGCAGCAGACTTACAAATTAAAGCCGAGTAATTATAGATTAATTTTACGTTATAATTTTAATTACATTACAATATAGAAAATGATAATATAAGTGGAATAATGAATGAAAATTATTTAGGCTGTGCAACACGATCATTTCGGATGCTGCCCTAAATATTATGCATATGAAAATATTCTTATTTGATTTAATCAATTTACAACCGAATTTATATTGAAGATTCAAGATTAGAGTTAGAAATGAGAATTTCTAACTCTAATCTTGCCTATTGCCTATTTTTGCTCAGGAAAGTAACAGATAGGGGAAGGTGAGGCAAGATGAGAATGTTAAGGTTTGAAAAGTCATAAGATGGCAACCACTTTGATGAGAACAATATTTTTTTTATTCTCAGCAACTACAACATGTGGTAATATATAATTCAAAATTTAATTTTTGAAAAACGTTTTTTCAAAAACAAGAAAATTTAATATTTTAAAATTATATGTAAATGCACCATCTTGCCCCACCCATGGGGTAAGATGGGGATATTATTTTTATATACAAGAAGGACAAATTAAAATGGTTAAACTGTCGTTTTCTTCAATATTGGCACAAGAACAGTGTTCCCATTTATCACAACGGCTACATTTAGCCCAACTCTCTGTAGATACAGAGTATAGCTTAACCCTCCACAATAGAGGCATTCTGTGTCATTTGTCTTTTGTTTCTTGTTAGGCCTACCCTTGCTGAAGGGGCCTATTTGTCGTCTCTGCAGCAATAAAGTCTGCCTTCAAAAATACTTCTGGATTCATAGGCCATATTCATGGTCAACCTAGGGCTAGATGGGTACCCCATCTCGTCCCCAACGTACACTTTTCATACTGACTGCAAACACAGGTAAACGTCCCGTCATTTCAAAACTAAACAATTACAGTCTTAAAGGTTACTTCGAATACCATAATATCTTCATCTAAAAAGTAATGTAAAAGTTCACAATGATACTTACTTTGTAGAAACTTTTTAGCAGGCATAAAATTAGATGAAGTATTGCTGAAACATGAAAAACGTATCTTGCTTCCAAACAAAGAGAGCGATTTGGACGTTCTCTTGTCCCATGATCCCTTTTGAGGTTGACATTTAGTTACCCAAATAACAGCTAGATAAAATCACATTAACCACAAATAAACAGACGTCTCCGTCTTACCCCATGACCCCATCTTGCACCACCTTTCCCTATTGGCTGCAAGAGGACTTCGACTTGTCGGTTGCCGAGAAAGCATTTCCCACAAATGTTTAATATGCGATATGTCTGGCAAACGGGCAGGCCAAAGAAAAAGTGGTATCTGCTGTGCCTGAAAGACGTATTCAATGGTCTTGGCAACACGAAAGTCGTGCAATACAGTATTCTGCTGGAATATATCACCAAGAGTGCTCTGAAGAAAAGTTGAATTCTGCTTCTACAAAGATCCTGAAGTAGCAGTAACTGTCGAGATACCCAAGCCTCTAGTAAAATACTCTAAAATACATGCTGGAAGATGGCGTTCATCACGATTCCCTCTAATTTGTAATCAGCCATTTCTGTGATCCAATCGGGACTTGCCTGAAGAGTGGAATTATTACCAATCGGCTCCCATTGTATATAATTATGAACCCATTGTAGCCTGAGGCGACGATGGTCTAAAGTCAAGGAAATCTGTCAGAAAGGAATGCGTCCAACTAGCCCTCTTTGAAGAAGACAGTATCGAACTTTGCTTTCGGATAATGCCACACCTATTACAGTGCTCGTATGCTGTGCTAACACTTGCGATGACACAGAACACTCAATGCCACGCGTTGAGGTTTCTGCCATCACGTGGTGTTGTCACATATTTTAAACTACTGCCGAATGTTCCGTGTACACGGTTCATTTCGATCTTCAGATTCCAAACACGCATGGTTGTCGTAGTGTTTTGCACTATACGAGAGGCAATGTTTTAGTTTGAGAATCCGCCTTCGTGCAGGCCAACCATGAATGCATGTTCAAACTCCGTTTGTTAATATTACAACTTTTGTCGTTGAGGAAGTAGTGAGTCCTGGAAACACTTTTACTATCCGCAATGCAGTCCTCGTGTGCCACCTCAAAAGTCCTGCATTGATGCATTACGAATGCCACGAGGACTCCACTAAGCCTACACATCTGCAGTCACTGTTCAATTTTGATCATAACACTGATTTACATATCCTGCAAGTTTCAAGTAATTCCATGGTGATGCCAGTTTTATAAATAATAGTTCATTTTTAGAGTCCGGCATTTGTATAACATTGTTTAATTATAACACTTTTAACAGTAAATAACTGAATTGAAAAGCAATGATTTTAAAATTAATTTTGTGTGAAAGATGTTGAAAAAATTAAGTCAGAGTGAATACGTTTCGTTGAGGCAACTGCGATTTTTTAAATCGTAAATACGGGTAAAACAAAAAAACAGGTTACAAAATGATTGTAGTATGTAGTAGTTCTATGATTAAACATGTTTCAGAAATAAGAAACTGTGTTAGCACATTTTCCTTTTTAGTGTATATCTTATAAATCATTTATTTATGCAATTCGTGCGATTATATAGATGGTGAATTTCTTTATTGATCTAACTCTTAAATGATATTTGATAAAAAAGTAATTTTTTATGTGTGTCAAATACCAGTTTCAAATATCCTTAATACATCACTGGGCTGCAATTTAAAAAATTGTAAACCTATAAATTTCCACTCTTATCTGTCTGTCCTTCCTTAAACTCGAGAACGGAATTAGATACACGAGAGTCAAAATCAGATATGGAAAGCGGTTCGGGAATAGGTCCCGGTTAACTATATAAGATTTTCCAGTCCAGAACGGAAGTAATTTCAATTCAAATATATTTCTAACAGGAATTAGATAGATGACTGACACGACTCTATAGTTAAAGAAAAAGTATGATGCAAGACACTACTAATTTCAGGTGAAGAACATATATTTTATGTTAAATAAATTAGAAATGTGATCAAACATTGCAGCCCGGCAATGTGATTACGTCACAATAAATAATTGCTCGTTATTGTAATAGTTATCATTTTACGTTATAATAAAAAAATCCTTAAAACGAATACTAAAATGTCTTACATTAATGAGTTTCATATTTAATATCCTACCAACAGCAGTAACAGGCTTGCACTCTCCAGCAGATAGATCTCTGGATTCCAACAAAGTTATCCATCCATTCGGATAAGCGGGAGGAATTTCATCTGGACTTCTCGATCTATTTGTTTCTTTCAATAACTGCAATCGTTTCTTATATAATTTACTGGCACTTGTTCTTCGATCGTTATAACCAATATCCGTCATGTCCTGCATAGATAAAAAGTAGTTAGACTGAAGGTAAAGTTTCTCGAATATTTGTTTACTTTTACTTACAACAACTTTGTTATGAGTTGACAATGAGAAATATACAATAAGAATAAGAACAAATAATAAAAAGAATAGATACGATTTATTCATAATTGTTGCGTCGATGCACTGAAACATATCCAGAAACCAGGAATATTTACACAATTCCTTAGTTACAACGTCGTTGAGAAAGATGAACATTTTACAAGGATTATAACCTTGAAAATATCTGAAACGAGAAATGTTAAATAGATTAATCAATTGTTATCAACATTAACTAAAACTCACTAATTTCAATCAAAGCTGTTTCTGTCAATAAAGCAACATTGGCACAAATTTGTTTAACTGTTTTTGAGCAGAAAGTAAAAGCTGCTGGTATGTCAGAAAGTGTTTTTTCTGTGTTCGAAATACAAAGCAACCGCAGGACCACTAAACGTGATCTTTTTCACATATGGTCTGTTCTGAAATGCATGAGCCACTATGAAATAAATAAATTAATAAAGAAATAATAAGCATATTATGGAACAGATTCCCAAGCGGACAGAAAGAGTTTTAATGTCACTGGAGGATATATATAAAGCTTAATTTGTAATCAATCACCTCTTGGCCCAATTAGTCTAACTCCAGATTTCCTCTAATTTTGTCACACAAACTGTCTTTTCTTCTCCTTTGTATTTTTATGGAAAGAACGATACGAAATAATAAAAATGAATTGAATATTCGTTTGATCAATTTATTTCTATTGGTTTATGATATCGTATGATAATAACATTATCAAAAAACAGTAATAAAATAAAAATATAAATTAATTTGAAGTACAGGTAACCCCCGTATAACACGGCACTTCTATAGCACGGATTCACTCTAACACGGTTCGAGAATTGGTACCATCCCCCGTATAACACGGTACTTTTATAGCACGGATTCACTCTGACACGGTTCGAGAAATGGGTAAAACCCGCGTACAACATGGAATGTAATGAATTTTTACATACTTAAGTACTAATAGTTCACGAAAATTATTATTTTCGTGAACTATTAGTACTTCAGTGTGTAAATTTTCTTTTCTCGTCTCCATACAAATGGTCCTTCGCGAAAATTGTTTCAATTTTGTCATATCTCGACGCTTCTGCTTCTGGTGTCGCCAGATATTTTTCCCTTATTCCATAAGTGCTTAGCATCATATAAAAAAAGTTATAAAGATCTTTTAACTAGAAGCAAGCAATCTAAAATGACATACACTTTTTGCAAAAGGTAAAGCATGAATCTGAAAATAATGCAGAAAAATGCTCAGAGGATAAGGATAATTTGCCAAAAATAAAACGCTCTCGGTTAATAGTGCTTTTAGTGATGACAAAGAAAACATTGTTTAATTTATATTAATATGTATCACTTAAGAAAATTTTAATAAAGATATTTAACTTAATTATGAAAATATAGTAGCATGTTTTTTAATTTTTGGAACCTAACCCTCCTTTTCGTACTAGTTCTTTGATTCGCATAACACGGATTCGCATAACACGGCAATTTTTTGGAACGTAACTACCGTGTTATACGGGGGTTACCTGTAATTTAACAGTTGTAATTAATTTGTATAGTATAAGCTTGTCCTAAAATCATAGAAGCATCTCAGCAGATAAATTGCACTGAATACTAAATACAGCACACAGGACAGTATAAAATACAGGAGAGAAGTAGATTACGGATGAATTTCTACAAAATATTCTTCTGGACTTCATGATGTAAAAAAGGTTTTATCATGGAAAAGAAAACATTACTTTTTCAATTTGAACAATGTTAAATCATTGAACTGTAGAAACTGCAACTTTCAATAATGGATATTTCTAGAAGACTAAATAGTTTTCATCAAGTTGCAAATCATATGAATTCCAGCGGAAAAAATGGAAAAGTCATATGGAAGATATCGTGCACCGATTTCTCATCAAAATAGAGTAATTTGCAGGGAAATTACCTATTATACTATGAGTCTGTAGCAAAATATATCTTTTCTAGTCACGTCTGAAAATCAACAGTGTACTCAGTTATCAAATCATGTAATTATTTATGAAAATAAGAAAATAAAACAAACTCTGTCTCTGAATAAGAGCTACATAGACAAGGGCTAACTATAACATGATGTGGACTGGTTAATGGCAACAAGTTATTGGAGTGACAAGAAGTAATTCAACGTATGGGTCTTTCTACTCTTTTTGCATGGGCCAGAAAGCTAGAGAAGCTGTTGGAACAATATTTAAAAAATAAATTAACTCACTGAACACGTCAGCAAGACGCCGAATGTGTAATGGCGTGGTAGGCATGTGGATGAGGTGGTATGACAAATTTAGGTTTTATCTTAGGTCGTATTAATACTGTAGAAATGCAGCACGTACTATATGGACACTAATGCCATATGCAGAAAAAATTGAAAGGAAGCTTTTCGAATATCTGAAGATAATGTAATATGAACCCACTCATAAAGTAAAATCAACTTGGGACTGGTTTGTTTGCAAATAATGCACATGTTATGAACTGATTCTTACCATTACCTAATGTTATTCCTATAGAAAGCATATTTCGTATTTTACGAAAAGTGTATATAAAAATGAAAAGCAATATACAATAGTGGAATTATTAAAAAAAAAACAAAAAAAACAAACAAAAACTGATTTTTGCACGAAATCACAGATAAGAGGGAAATCTTACTAAAAGAACGTCGTGTAGATATTATATATTAATTACTTTGTAACTCTAGTTTAGGAAGTAATTAATTGGTAAGGCGAGTTGGAAGATTTTGATAAAAACAATGGTCAGTAATTAAAATGTATATTTATTGGCATCAATATTTACAATAATGAAACTGATTTGTATATATATATTATGAATTTTTAATATATTCATATATATATATATATATTATGAATTCTTAATAATCTTTCATACATAGGACATACTTGCTCCAAAATAATAAAGCTATTTCGGCATAAATAATGAGTGATTCCCATCTATATATTAATTAATGGAGGATTTCAGATTTTATGAAATTCATAAAATTACTGTGCGACATAACAGAAATCAATAATCAATTTCAATGTGCTTATTATTTTTTTATTGATGTTATTTCCCAGCAACTATAAAATTTCGAAACAGAATGTGTACAAGTCGGCAAGTCCGATGTGATGACCAATCCAGAATTTTGTAACTCGACCTATGTTATAAGATATTTGAGGTCAAAATTCACCACTTAAATTCTATGAAACTATTGCCGATTGTAATCTGTTCTAGCGCTATGTATCAATCGAGTTTACGATTGCTGTCAGTTTATATTAACCCTGAGTTGAACGGATTTTAAGAATTCCGGTAATGAATGTCCTGGATCTGAAAGACTTACGTGATACCTACGACGTGTGTAGTAGATATGACGACTAAGCTCAATAATTTGTAGGTATCACGTTCGGAAGAATCTACAATTTTCTACAACGTGTTTTTGGAGGTAAACCCATTAATGACCGCATATTTTCAGAAATTTCCTGTTGAATACGGGATGATTTCCCATTGTCGGAGCCTGAAGGACCGAGATATTTTTTATAAATAGAAAAATTCGCATAAAAAATACAAAACTTCTGACCTAATTTAATTTTTAAAAATGTTTTGCATAACATTGGTGGCTTCTTGTCCATGTCGTCGAATTTTTTATTTCCCGGCTGTAGAAACAAAAAAATTATACATATACATAAGTGTGTACCCACTTTTATACATAAGTGTGAGATAGTATGATGATTACTCAAAAAATAACCCCCCAAGATTTTTACATTTTCGAACTCAGGGTACCTTGAAATCCAAAAAACATTCCATTTTTCTGTATGTACAGTAGACCCCGCTATAAAACGGGTTCATATAATACGGATTCGTATATAACGGCAAAAAATTGCTATCGTATTCGTATAAACACGCTAAAAGAGACTCTTATGATACGGTAAAACGTCATCGCCGACTCGTGTCGCGACAGGATTGGTCGAATCTAGACCAATAGCGGATATTGCACAAACCGTTCAGTTTAAACGAGCAGCGGACCTACTAAAACCCATTTATTATTTAACAGCCATAAAAATTATATTTATATTAATGATGTCTCCAAAGTTCAGCAAATTTTTCGCAGAAAAATAATTTATCAGGAAACACGCGCCCGCCGTTCAATGCGCCGCTCCACGACGAAGCTTAAGCAATGGCGTCGTCGAACGGTTCACACTCGGTACGTAAACCTAAAATTTTTTGCTTATAGAATAGTTTATATGGATTATTTCCAAAAAGTTATACGTGTTTTGGAAATGTTGAGTCAAATTAGTCTAGAATCGATTAATTTTATGGAAAAAACCTTTCAAACAGCCGTAGTCCGTAAACTGCACACGTGCCGGGCTGTGATTGGCTCATGTATTTAAGTGATCGTAAAACACAAATTCATATATAACGGAGCGTATCTACCGTATTATAGGGGGTCTACTGTATTAATTTTAGTGTGTGTGCGTGTGTGTGTGTTTGATGGGATTTTGATCACGCTGTTTGAAGCTAAAAAGTGCTCTACTTTTTGTCGAAAAAATTTTTGAAATTTTGCAGGCAGGTTTGTATAATGGAAGGATTGATGCTGTTAAATTTTTGTGGTAATATTTTTTATTGAAATGTTTTTTAAAATTTTGATTAATATTTCGTTTTTTGCTAATCAGAAAGGTGAACATACAGTATATAAATTTTGTTTCGACTTTGGACTACATTTCCTCACTTTTCCTAATAAAAAATAATCATAATATAAATATTTTGTTTCTAAAATTTTTAATAATTTTTCCACTTTTCGCTATCGAAAAAAGTGGAATAAAAACATATTTTGCGTTGACTTTACACAAAGATTTTCTTTATTTACTAATCGGAATAGTGAAAATAAAACATTTTCTTGGCTTTTAATTAAAAGTAATTCTCTTCGCTAAAAAATTAAATAAAAATAAAGATTCTTTGTTTTGACTTTTAACTTACATTTTCTCTCTGTGCTAATCAGAAAATTAAAAATAAAAATATTTTGTTATGACTTTTAAAACCTTTAAACTTATACAATTAGAAAAATATAAATAAGATTTAGTTTAAATTTCTAAGACCTTTTCACTTTGCTAATTAAATAATAGGAATAAAGATATTTCATTCTGACTTCTAAGAGTTTTTTACTGTTGCTAATCACAAACATGAAAGTCAAGCTATTTTGTCTTCAGTTTTTACTAAGATCTTTTTTATTTACTAAGCCGAAAGGTGAAAGTAAAGATATTTCGTTTTGACTTTTTGAAACTTTAAGTTTCACTAATCAGGGAAACATAAATAAAAATTATCTACCCGTATATCTGCGCAGATAAGACGATAGTTAAATTATTTAATTAAAAAATGGCACCCAAAATCTGGGGTCGTATTATAAGACAGATACGAAAAAAGTTAGATTGAAATTTATATAAATTAAAACCATTATAAAATAAAACAAATCACTCACAAATGTGTACGGGGTACAATTTTGTTCACCTTGTTTGAAGCTTAATTACTCCTGTGCATTTTGTGGAAAATATCTGAAATTTTGCAGTAAGTTTTGTTTATTAGGGAATTGTTTATTAAATTTTGGCGATT